GACCACGGCTTGATTAATTTGTGAGTGTCTTGTTCTCCTATCCTATCACTTTCTTATGATGTTATAATTTGCGATTGAATTTGGTACTGGAGACTCTCGCCGGAGCCTCTTAACAGTCCCAAAGAGATGATATTCATTTCTTACATATGCTGAGTTTAGGAACCTGCACCCTGCTTTCGTTTGGCATGTTTAAAGGCTACGAATAATGTACTGACACTGCGAACAGTTGCTTTTAGAATTGTTGCGTTCCCCTTTCACCTCGACTTACTCGGAATCCCTTCAGCGAGCAGTATAAATGACTGTTTCTTGATTTGTGTCAATGTCTTCTCTGGTGACCATGTAACATCCAAGGTACGTACTTTGTTCTCTGATCGGCTTTTCCGATGATTACACCCTTTGCACTAGATAGTAAATGATCAACATTGACATGATCGTATCCCATTCACCAAGATCTCTGAGGAAATTTGACACCTTTGCATGTTCACTCAAGCTCTGCAAGTTCATTGCTGACCTTGTGCTAGGAAAGAAGCCTGAATCTCATCTGGTCGTCTGAGAGGGACCCGCTGCTTGGGAGATGGCCCCAAAAGACCCTTCTGATCCCCCCCTGAGCAGCTCGATCCATGCTTTACTGACTGACGAAAGTGGTCCATCTTTGCATCACTGCCCTCCGCCATTTCTGCAATCTTCTGGCCCACTCCTGCACCTTGCCTTCCGTTAGAGTTACCATCGCGTGTCTGAGATATTCCTCTACTTTGGAACAAGTCAACTCGTGTTCATCATTACCTATCAAATCGCACCAGCTTGTCTGACGGGGCTCACCCATGGTATAATGTCTCGAGGCCTTGTGGTGATGATCCGAATCGTCTCTTCGGGACGATCAACTCGGCTCATCTGCCTGTCTCTCCCATCATGAAGGGAGCGGTAGATGTCAGTAGGACTTGTACACGAGTAGATTGTAGATACTCAACGTTGCCCGACAGTGATGGCCTGGTTGGCTGTTTCCAAGTGCCACTGCAATTACTCCGTGTTCACTGCTTGTTGCCATGGAGGATGATGTGTTGCCTGGTCAAATGTTTCCTAAATCGCTAGAGTAACACAGCCGCATCGAGAACTGGTACAAACTTCCCTTTCGTCACACCATGGCAAATGGGATGCTTTCATACTCTCCTCTGGCCATTGGTCCGGAAACCCTGTTCTGCACACAGAGGGTTTCTAGCTCGAGAAAAACAAGTGCGTCTGTCAATATCTGCCGCAGGTGTCTCCAATCCAATATGGTATTCGCTTAAGCTGTTTCCTGCCAAGGCTCAAACTGCGCAATGCAGTGTTCATCAATCGAGAAGGGATCCATGTTGTCGCTTAGAGTGACTGGCATGGCCTGGACAGGTCTGTACGGCAGCAACGGGAAGTGGAGCGCGGTGGCGCGGCAATTGTTCGTACTTGTACGAGATAATCAGGTTGATAGCGAATGCTTGGTTATGGCGCACTTGACTGGGGTCAGAATTAAGGAACGTTCAACGGCGTGAACGGGCTTCGTCCGCCAGGGGGAAGACGACGCACCATAACGTTCGATCACTCAATCTGGGATAAGGTTGTGCAGAAGGGCTGACAGGGGGCTCAGCATGGAAGGATGTTTGGAAGTTGACTGGGGTTCTTCGACTCCACATGAGCTCGTTTTTCTTTGTTTCCCATGCTGCGCTCCCGTGCCCTGCAAGGCTCACACGGGGATGTAACGTGAATTCCTCCTCTTCCGCTTCTTCATCGGTCCCCGCAATGCTGGTGATGGTTCTCGTTCAGGTCAGATCGTGGGCGAGGAGGAAGTGATGGTCTGCCACGTCAAAGACCGTGCTCAGGGAGTCTGGAGGAGCCAACAATCTGGTGGTAGGGGTGCGGCAACAAATCTGAAGGCAAGTGCAGCACCCATGAAACAGTACATAAAACCCATCGCGTGCCGCACCTCAAAGTGACGATGGCAGGCGATCGAAAAGGAACACAAAGCCTTGCGAGTTCAAAGTGACGATCAACTGTCAGCTAGCTGGAGGGGACAGAGGCAGAGAGAGGGAGAAGACCTCATCTCTCACATCTTTGTGTTTCTCACCCAGCTTCACACCTTCGTTGACTTTGTGAATGATTGTGTCCATCTCGTCCTTCCCGCGTTCCTTCCTTTCGACACCACCTCTTCTCACCTCTCCTGTCGTCTTGTGCCACACACACCCTCACGCCAATATCGCTGCCACGGCGGTAATTAACCTGGTCTCCTGACCGCGCGCACTGAGATTTGAGCGACGCACACTGCCGACCTGCGTCGACACGCGCTCGGCTTACTTCACTCATCTGTCCAGCATATCCATCTTCTCCTTCCAATCTCTCACCGTCATATCGACATCAAGGCACTGGCTTATTTGGAACCCTCTCACTGAACACGCTTATCCGCTGGCACGGATGGCTTCACCTACTTCACCATGTGCTGGCTCCATGCCACGGGATATTAATAGTGCTGATCGAGGTACCATTGCCATGTCGACTCAAGTTCAACACGCTTATGCAAATGGCTATGATATGGCGCTGAGGTACAACACCGACGGACTCGGAATCACTTACATCGGTCTCGTCATCGCGTGGACCTGCCTCTTACTTCCTGCTGCTGTATTTCTCATGCGCAATCGACACTTGCCGTACCTACGCATTCGGAACATACCTCTCGCGGTCAGTGCTGTTGCAACTCTCCATGTGTACTGGGTCTTGTGCATGATCGCCTATGTCCTGAATGGATACTTCCCCTGTGCCACCGAATACTGGATTATGAGTATCTATCTTCCACTGGGCATCGCTCTATTCCAAGCAACAAATTCTCAATTACTCTCTGTTGCGACAGCACAGAAAAGATATGCGCATGGAGATGTTCTGGTCGAATCCCAGCCGATCACAGACCGGAAGACCCCAGTATGGCGCAAGTGGTGGCGCAGACTCAAGACATACAACGCTACAAAGAATACCATGGCATGGATTGGGATTGGTATGAGTATTCAGGTAAGTAATAGTCACTTCAGCTAGCACCCTGTCACTAACTCCCCAGGTTGTCTTTGCACTCATCATCTTTCTTGCCTCGCGAAAATTCCACCCGGGGTTCGGAGTCACAGGACAGGTGACCACAAGATCACTCTGCCGACGTGGATGGGAATGGTAAGCCTGGTGCTCAAACGCCCTGGAGTCAAATCTAACACTGGTCAGGTGGCCTTCAATCGTGTGGCAAATCGTCTGGTCTTGGATGTATGCGCCTGTACTTCTCTGGAGAGTCCGGAATATCCATGATGTTCACGGATGGCGGACGCAAACCATCGCTTGCATTGTTGCTGGGTAAGTGTTGACGACAACCACACGTGACGGCTTGTATTGATGACACCAGGTTACCTGCCTCACCTATGTGGTTAGTCGCACTGTATGCTGGACCTTTGCAAACGACAGTCGACAAGTACTTTGTCCCTCCCTTATGGTGAGATTCGCTCCTATTGTCCTATTGACGGCGATTGTCACTCATGCTATTCAGGTTTTCCCCTTCCATTGTCATCATGCAAGCTTCGGTCATATTTCTCCCTTTCTTTCAGATATTCAAGAACAGAAAACTCGAGACCGAAACACGCGAGATCATCGCCGAGTGGGAGGAAAAGCAGAAATTCAACGGCTCGCTGAACGCAGGGTCGACCAAAGCCGGCGTTCGATCACGGACTTCTACACGCCAATCTGTCAAGAGCACCACAAGCGCCCGCCAAGGAGAGATGTACACTATGAGCGCTCTCGAGACAACGCTGAAGTTGAATCCTACCCCTCTTCTCATGTTCTCGGCGCTGAAGGATTTCTCAGGAGAGAACATCAGCTTCCTGATCCACGTACGAGACTGGAAGGCTGCCTGGCTTACTGCCACTCCGAGATCCGGGATGCTGCGCAAGCAAGGACATGCCAGAACGAACGACCAGGAATTGACGCGGCGACAGTTTCAACAAGCGGTTGGAATTTATGCCTCCTTTGTGAGCCTAAACTATTCCGAGTTTCCGATCAACATCTCTTCAGCTCATCTCAGAGACCTGGAGGCGATCTTCGAGCAATATGCGGCCCTCGTCTGCGCAGAACCAACATCGAATGCTGCTACGCCCTTTGAAAACTATTGGTCCTCCACTGTCTCCGAGGACCTAGAAAGCCAAATGGGGAAGGATCAATTGTCGGTCGTTTCGACAGTAGTAGGAGAAGGTGGGAGAGGCGAGTTGAGACGCGAAAACAGTGAATCACTCCAACTGCAACAGTTGAAGATGACCAATTTCGGCGAGAGACTGCCCGCTAATATCGGCATTCCCGACGCTTTCGACGAGAAGGTCTTTGACAAGGCTGAGCTCAGCATCAAAGAATTGGTCCTGACCAACACATGGGCCAAGTTTGTAAAAGCTGGCTTCGCTCAAAACAGTGTCAAGTCGAGCTTCACGGCTCGTCTCGAGGCGGTAGTCGACTCTTGTCGACTTCGAATCCCAAGCCGACTTCCAAAGCTTGCTGGCAAGCCAAGGAAATAACGTCGATAATTTCAGGGCGGCATTTTTGTGGGATCATAGCGCGGAGACATTATGAAGGCAAGTGGTCGGGGGAAAAAACAAGAATTGTGCTACGGAAATTGATACCAAATGTCACGGATTTGTTTGCGTATGCTATGGGGGTCTAGGATTGCTCCGACATGACGCTCGCTGGAAATCGAGGATAGTATGGTGGAATATCCATGGAAGTTGCATTGGCTTCCTCTGTATGACCAGATTTCGGGAGTTTGTGGCCGGGCCTGGAGAGATAATGGCTGATGCATTTGATATCCGTGGATGCCATATTCAAGAACCGAGTCACAGCTTTCGCCGTGCGCATATGCATGACTTGCTAATCTCTGAATAGCTGGGAGACTGATGGCCACAGCAGAGAGTAACCAGCAGTGAGTGACACACGACATGCTCCTTAGCAAGGAATACCACTCATCAATACATAAGGACACTCAAATCCTCCCTCGCCTTCCCGCTACCGCCACCATCTCCATCTCCGTCGCCATTGGCGTTGACTCTCTCGTAGCCCTGTCCCTGTCCGCGTCCATCTCGATCCGCATTCTCGGCCTCTCCGTCGTCGTCATCATCATAATCCTCATCATAATGATGACCCCCCACCTTCCGCCCGACGAACCACCAACAGGGACTGAAGATCCCCTCGCGGCCGGCCTCGGCGGTACTGTCGACGCAGTACGCCAACGTGGTCATCGCGTCCGTGACGCCCCGATCCCACAGGCCGACGCGCTCGCCGACCCAAATCGTCCAGAAGCACAGGCGCCGCGGCCACGTCGACATCTTCCACGCCGTCCAGTAGTCCGTCCAGGTGGTGGCGAGGTGCGTCGCGCCCTCGAGCGGCCAGTACCATGGGCGGAAGGTCGTGGGAGGGATCGGGAGGGAATCGGGGAGGGGCGTCGTCGTGGGTGGGGCGGGAAGAAGGAGGGAGATACCATCGTCAGGAGAGAGTGAGGATTTGAAAGGTATGAGGACAGAGCTTTGAGGGGTTTGGTCAGAAGATGGTGGAGGAGGAGGAGGAGCAGGGGTGGGAGAGGGAAGGGTGTGGTCCTGTGGGCTGGTGCTCTCGTGTCCTTCAATGTCGATGTCATTGCCCCGATTCTTTCTAACCACCCCTCTCTGTGTCTTCGTCTTCGTCTTCGTCTTCGCGGTGGCGGAAGCGGACGCAGAATCCTCCACCAGACTCTTCGCATAGTCAAAACGCGCCGCAAAATCCTCTTCGTGGAGGATCTCGAATCCGGCCCCCTTCATCGCCTCGCGCGCCTCGTCGCTCGTGCGCAGGTTGCTCACGCCGTTGCCTCTCTCCACCCGGTTCCGCATCCCCACGTGCCTTTGGTCCGTCGGGTCGTATTTCGGCGTCATGACCCATTCCGAGAGACCGAATATGGCGCCGGGCTTGAGCACGCGCGCGACGCCGCTGTACACCTGCAAGAGGGAGGGGGAGTGGACTGTCGCCTCGATGGCGTAGGCGGCGTCAAAGGACGCGGGGGCGAAGGGGAGGTCCTGGCTTTGGGTTTTAGTACTCGTTCGTACATGTGGGTTCTGTCGTTATCTTCCCCAGTTCCTCCTGGCTTGAAGGGGACTTTGTCGTATAGAAGGGATGGTCGGATCATGAGGGGAAAAAAAGGGGTGGAAAGAGGCAGACTTAAGCGAAAGAGCGGGAACACCCTGAGATGTTCGAGTTCTGGAAAGCTAGCTCACCAGGAAATCTGCCCTCACAAAGGTACACTTGTCCTGCAAACCCTCCATCCTCGTCAAGTAGACGGCGCGATCGATCTGGGTCTGGTTGATGCACACGCCCACGATCTCGCAGCCCACAAACTTTGCAATCTCGCGCGCGGGCCCGCCGATGCCGCAGCCCACGTCGAGGACTTTCATGTGCGGCTTCAGGCCCATGACCAGGGCGAGGCGGTGCTCGTAAAAGGCCAGCGCTATGGCGATGGTGCTGTCGCACGGAGGGAAAGAGGGCGGGAAGGGGGCGTAGTGGAAATGGGTGGACCAGCCGCTTTCGTATGCTGCAGAGGCGAAATTGTAGTATCTGTAAGAGACAGGGAAAGAGAGGCATTGATTTTGATGATTAGCATAGGTCCTATATTTCTCTCTGTCCCTCCTTCGCTCCCTCCGTATTTCAATCCCTTCGGGTTGCTTTCGTTGGTGTATTGGTGTGATCTTCAAGGGTATTATGGGCAATGAACCATTTTGTATCCACGCCTTCAGAAATGGCACAAACTGTACTCACGATTCAGCAACGTCTGTCGCCGCTTCTCGTCTCTTCCTCCTCTCCTGCTCGGTCACAGTGGTCTGGTCGTCATCCTTGCCAAAGTGGGAGGTGAAGGTGTTGACGACACCGGCAAAGTTCTCGATCTTCTTGGGGTTGCCATGTCTGTCCCCCATTGTGCTGGGTAGCTGGCTGCCAGGTGGTCTTTTCGTCCGTCTTATTGCTAGGCTTTTTTCGGTGTCTCAGAGAACAAAGATTGCCTGTGATGGCTTTCGAATCGCGACAATATGTACCGGTTGTTCAAGAAGGCCCGATGAACCGCACCCGCGCGCCTGAACTGGAGGAGCGGCCATGAATCATTCTGTTGGGCGGTCGGCACATGTACATACATGGTTAATGCTCTCCCTTTGCGGGGCGAGCAAACGGGGAAGAATGTGTCCATTGTCAGCGAGAACAATACTAAGCAGCGCCATGTGGTGAGCGATGGTCAAGAGGTCAACATGCTGAGAGTCATTGGTATGTGCGGCAAGGGATGATGTTTGTCACTCACGGAAAGACATGGTGACGTGTCAGTAAACCACCATTTTCGTTCGTTCACCCCTTGCACAGTCCTGAATATCGACCTGTCGACATGGCATTAGCCCAGTCCCGTCTCGTTTGTAGATAATGGCATTGCCTCGAAGCCGGACGGTTGTTGACAGAGTGAAGAGATGGTTGCCAAAGTATTTCGGACACGTCACTAGCGACATTATTAATGTGGATTTCCACTTACCACTTCCATATGATCAACCACGATGAAGCTACACACTTCGAAGTTGGTTACGTAGCCCGGTAGGTTCACAATCCTTTCGCTCTACACCTCCGTCGGCGTCTCAAGAACAGACTCGATAGGAATCAAAAGCCAGAGCCGAGCAGTATCAGTGTCAATGTCATAAAATGCAATTCATCGTATTCTACTAGCAGAGAGATTTTTCTATCACTGCAACAGGCGGAGAGGCTGCCACATTTATCTATCCATTTCGCAGGGAATAGACATGGACGGGACAACCTTGCCTCCCGGGGATCAAGATTGACAAAGGCCCCATCGTCTACCTTCATACCACAACCACTTCTTCCGCTCTACTTCTTCTTAGTTTGCTGCTTCTTTCCTCGAGCATCTCGTTGCGTGCAGATCTGCTTTTGGAGGGTTGTCATCATACAATGCCTCAGGACCATAAACTCATGTATGCAATTCGTAAAGTCATGGCCTTTTCTATTTGCGCCTTCACGTCGAGTGCTCTACAACTTGTCTGTTTGCACCGTTAGTAACTATCGAACACAGAACAGGAATCAAAGAGTAACTTACCATAGTAGTTGTCATAGCCCGGAACTTGCTCCTTGAGACCCTTCCTCTTACGCATGTCCGTAACAATCTTGCCAACCATGGTAGTAGCATCAAGCGGCGAGCCACCAGGAAGGATTTGCCAGTGATCAAAGACGGATTGAGGGAAGGCTTGGCCACCGGTGGCAGCACGCAGATCAGCATTGAAACCAAATGACTCCAAGACGGGAAGATATGCCTTGACGGTGAAAAGCGGGGTTCCGACACGTTGCTCTTCGGAGAAGACGTGACCTCTTCTGCGGGTAAGGACACCGTAGATACCACCCATGGCTTGTTCTGGAACCTGGATCTCGACCAAGTAGACGGGTTCGAGGAGACCGGGGTCGGCGAGCAGAGTGGCCGCATAGAGCACACGTCGAGCAGTGGGGATAATCTGGCCACCACCACGGTGAATGGCATCAGCGTGGAGGGTCACATCCATGATGTTGAAGCGGATTGAGCGCATGGCCTCTTCGGCAATCGGACCTTCGCGAGTCGCCCACTGGAAACCGGACACGAAAGAATCCTTGATTTCGTTGAGGTACTGGACGGCCTTGGTCTGGTCAACCAACAAGTTGGCACCAGTGGTGTCGGGACCGAACGCCCAGATCTTACGAGCATCCGTAACATCCCAGCCGTGCTCATCGGCGAGGATACGGGCACGGGCCTTGAAATCGTCACGAGGCGTGATCTTGCCGTTCTCAATATCCTTCGACACTTCTTCACCAAGAGGCTCGGCGATGACATACAGACGGTTATGCTTGTTGGGAGACTTGGACAGGGCAGTCATGCTCGAGGTGCCGCCAACAGTCTCACGGTAAGACACGACTGGGTCGCTGATCTTGAGAGGAACACCGGCGTGGTCTTCTTCCAAATCCTTCAAGCAAATTTCCAAGTGAAGCTCACCGGCACCGGCAACAATGTGCTCACCGGATTCGGAGATTTGCGTCAACACGCAAGGATCGGACTTGGACAATCGCTTGAGACCTTCGACGAGTTTGGGCAAGTCGTTGGCGTTCTTGACTTCGACCGATCGTCGCACGACGGGGGAGACGGAGAACTTCATGACCTTCAGGTTGTGGGCGGTTTCGGAGGTGGTGAGAGTACCAGACTTGAGCAAGAACTGATCAATACCAACCAAACCAATGATGTTACCAGCGGGCATATCATCAATAGGCTCGACGGTACGACCCATCATCAGGACAGTTCGTTGAATGGACTTGATGAACAGATCTTCCTTCTTGCCAGGAACATAGTTGGGCCCTTGGATGCGGACCTTCATGCCGGATCGGACAGTACCAGCGAAGACACGACCGAAGGCATAGAAACGACCTTTATCGGAAGTTGGCACCATCTTGGAGACGTAGAGCATGAGATCGGCATTGGGATCACAGTCGCGGATCGCAATGCAGGATGGGTCATCAGCCGGTCCCTCGTACAGGGTCTCGGCACGATATTTCTGGGCAGTGACGGGAGAGGGCAGATGGATAACCATCATTTCGAGCAGGGCATCGGCAGCCGGCAAGAATTTCCTCATGGCAGCCTTCAAAAGACCCTTGCCCGGAAGTTCCTTTTCTTCACTGGTGATCTTGATCTCGAGCTTGGCGCAGAGCTCAACGAGTTGGTCGACTTTTCCCTTCTGGAATGCATCAAAGATCTTGAAGATGGGGTCGAGAATGAATTGGTTGAAAGCACGCTCAAGGGTCTTTCCCTCGTGCTCGGCAGTCTTGGTCCATTTCTTGGTCTTTGGGTTGAAGTAGTTGTCGCCCCAAAGACGTTCCATCATCTTGGTCTTGTCAACACCGAATTTCTTGGCGTATCTGACGGCGAATTGCCGCACGGTGAATGCCCAACCGTGAAGCCCGGAACCGAACGCAACGGTGCCTTTCTCGGGGAAGACTTGGACATCACCCAGGGCCTTGTCGAGGTAGGTGGAGATGATGACGTTGACCGACTCGATTGTACGAAGGAAAGATTGGTAGAGATCTTCCTTTTGGAGTTGCAACTCGAGCAGAGCTCGGTCGACCTTGTTGATGATGACCACTGGCTTGATACGCTCACCAAGAGCCTGTCGGAGCACAGTCTCGGTCTGGACACAGACACCTTCGATGGTGTCGACGACCACCAAGGCACCATCGGTAACTCGGAGAGCTGCCGTCACCTCGGATGAGAAGTCGACGTGGCCGGGCGAATCAATCAAATTGATCAAGAATTCGTTACCGTCGACTTTCTGAGAAATGAATTAGTCATCGGCAGGGTATCAGCGACTCGAGCGCATCTCTCACCTGGGGAATGTCCTTCAAATCTTCCTCGTCCGGAAGATGGGCATAAAGGGAGATGGCAGTCGACTTGATGGTGATACCACGCTCCTGCTCATCTTTTCTTGTGTCTGTAAACCGGCTGCGGAATTGTCATTATCTTTCCCTTGAGCACATAGTGGCGCGAAGACCTACGCTTCTCCTGCCTTTGCTGCAGAAATAATACCAGCTCGCTGAACGAGAGAATCGGTCAAGGTGGATTTGCCGTGATCGACTGCGTATCCGGTCAGCTTCCGTAGTCTCCAGACGACAGATGTGCGACATACCGTGAGCAATGACAGACATGTTGCGAATGTTCGCTGGCTTGTCCATCAACTTTTTGGGGTATTAGTCCACATCTCGCATAGCAGCCAGAATCCAATCAAGTCCAACTCCATAATCGGGTGTTGTCGAAGGAGGGGCAACTTACAGCGCGGATTTCTTCGATCGTAAACTGCCAACGACTTAGCCATGACCAGCTGATACAGAGCGAGAACGATGTAGACTTACGTTGACCATTTTGACGGTTTTTGATGTTGGAACTGCCCTAAAACGGCGGAATAGTGCGCTCCCTTGAGCTACTGAGAAGAATTGATGCAAGATCGAGAGCTCGCTCAATCTGCCAAAAAACGGAGCGAGAACCTGCGCGGGTATAGACGAAGAAGGATGGAAATTGCAGCTGGTTGAGCCGCGTGTTTGGTACGGGAGAACTCGAAGGGAAAAGAGGGTGAGGGAGGGGTTGGACTGAGATGAGAAAATCTTGGTGGTTAGAAATGCAAGAGTCGAGTGCGGCAATTTGCCAAGCAAGCATTCACGTGGGGCTTGGAGGGTCCCAGCAAGTTCAACAAGTGAGCGAGTGAGGTGACAGGGTGAGTTCCCGTACCGTGGTACCCCGCCAATGATCGAGGGCGCAGTCACCGTCGGGACGCCGTCTGCCGTGCAAGCTGTTAACTCCGGCCCTTGGCCACCGCTTCCTTCCTCTGGGACTGTATCTAGCTGCGCCAGACGAGAGGTGCTATGACTCTACCTCCTCGGTAGGCAGTAGGATACGACCTGTCCGGGTCCAATATGGCACAGATCAAAGGTGTCAGTGAGTCATCCGAAGAGTACGCATCTATACCGGCGGACGCACGCAGAATATCATTGGTCCAGTGCTTCCTGATATTGCCCTCCGCCTTCAGCAGCTGACCAATTCCCAAAACCTTTATGTGCGCTTGCTTTTGATGTATACCTATACCAACTGCCAGGGAGGTGGCGCAAAGACGACCTCGAATCTTGACGAGACCAGAACTGACCATCGACCATCGCCTGTCGCAGGATAACCCATGTCCGCTTGAACGCTCTCATGCCCACATATACCAGAACAAGCGGTAAGCCTAGTCAAACCCAATACCAACCATTTGAATGAGCTTCGCACAATGAGCTCCAGACCCTAGGCCATCCTTCCTCCCTAGAATGGTGTTACAATATTCAACTCCGGCTCCAAACATTATCTTCCTCGATCATGTTGGCATATTGGCCTTCTCCACGCTCTGTCCGAGACTCTTCTTCATCCTTGTGGTCGATAAAGTTGTTCTCGTCGTCACTCACTGCCCTCTCAGGAGGTGGTGGTCTCGCGGCCACGCTAGCCGGATCCCAGCCTTCTCGTATCTCCTGTCCTTCTGGTGCCTCCTCGTCGATGCTGTAGGTGCGTACGAAATGTCGTTGGGGTTTTCGATTCCAGGCATCGCTGCCTTCCTTTCGAGCTCTGACTCGCTCCGCCTCTTCCGCCTCTTCGTCCTCGACAACGAGATCTACGAGCTGGCTGCGGTCAGACTTCCCCGATGCCGAAGGGGAACGCTCTTTGGGGCGTTTCAACTTTGCTTCGATGGCACCTTGCTGTGAGGAGCTTTCGGAAGGTGACGTGCTCCGATTCTTGCCTTTCCGGATACGGTCCTGGATCTCGCTTTGGCGGCGGCTCTTCCTGTCGCGAGTCGGTTGAAAGAGGTGACGATTTGTAGAGGTAGTTAGCAAGTTAGGATCACGCCGCAACCAATCTTCACGTCGTGCTTCGTGCGCGGTAATGACTGGATACTGCAGAAGGAGGACAATTAGAAACATGGACCAGCATTCATGAGAGCATGGGTAACTTACGTTCCAATCGCCGAATTCCAGCGCCCGCGCATTGGTAAATAGTCGTTCGTCTTCCGCATCAATCCCAATCTCGATATCGGGGTCTGCTGCTCGGTATTCGTGAGCTTTGCCTCGAGATTCTGGCGCTGGAGCTCGAGATGACCCGTCCTTTGGCAATAGTGGTGTCCGACTGTTAGGACCCTGCGGCTTTGGGATCCAGTACTTGCCCTTGCCCCCCCTCTCATACCTCATGCCGTCCATCATCCTAGCAACGCGCGAATGGGACTCCTCGTGAGCGATCACATTGTCCCCAGAGTCAAACGTTCGATAGTCGTAATCCTTTCCTCTGAACGTCTCTTTTGTATCCTGGATCAGATCCATGGGACCAAAGGCATCTCTTAACGCGTACTTGACGGGCATGCGAGCTGCCGAAATGGTGACGTCGGCATAGTCATGCCAGGAGAAGGCATACCAGTGCGCCACAGCGAAGATGGGCATCTCGAAACAGATCAGAGCATCTTGAATGGCTGCAGCAAGGTTGTCCGGAGTGTAACCTGGGACATCATTCGGGATAGCCCCTAGGAATTGAAGAATAGAAAGGAAGAATCCTTGCCAGTAAGAGGCGAAAATGATGAGCTTTATGCACAAGAACTTTGGCATGGGGCGGAAAGGCTTGAGATCCTCATGCATACACACCCAGAACATGGCCAGGAAATACAAGCTCATAGTCACGCTGACGTTGTACAACAGGCCCGTCCAGAAGTAGCCCGACGTCAAGGAGATATAGCCTTCTTGGTATGTCCCCGTGAGCTTGAGGATGATGGTGGCAACACTGAGGACAGGTTTGAGCCAGGCATATTGCAGAATCCCTCTTTTGATCAGGAGAAAAGTATGTGGATCCGAGATATCCATCTTGGGGCACCATAGACTTATCGGCCATGGGTGCGAGACAGGCGCTCGCCCATGCATCATGATAATGAGGGATCGTTCGCCGCCGAGGAAGTTGACGAGGAGTTGGAGGAAAGTGTAGATGGTGAAGGCTTCGTAAATGTCACGAAGAGGGTCGAGGTAGAAGGCAGCCTTGAGCGATACGATCGAGGCCCACGAGGCAGCAGAGTAAATGGGCACCATGAGCAGGATTCGAATGACATATCGTTGCAATAAGGGTTTCCTGTAATTCTTGGACTGAAGCCATATCGATCTAGGCAGCAGATTAGCACCGCGGACTTCAACAGCATGGGGAATATAGACACATACACGCATGAAATTAGAGTAGCAAGCAGCGACGATACTCCCGCGAGGATAATGATGACTCTGGTGAGCTTGCTGCCCGTTCCACCACTGGCCATTGTTTCCATGACGGACGGCACGCAATGCCCAAGAGGCACCGCGAGAAGAGTTCCAGTCCCGTTACCGCGATCCCCAAGCCGACCTCATGTCGAGTTTGCCAACGCCTCAGAAATTATCGAGGAGCAACTGGTGTCGGGTATTGATGATGTGACGAAGTCGCTGTTATCGCATATAAGGAGTGTAGGCAAGTCATTCATCACAGTCAAGAAAACGTGCAAGTGATGCACGCATGTGCCTGTTCGGGATTTCTGCGGGGAAACACATCATCACCGCAACTCAGCATCGCGCATCTGAGTCCACATCCGCAACTTGACACGGGCTCACCTTCCTCTGCATGCCTTCGAGGTATTTTTCCTTTGGCCGCCGTTTCTTTCTGCTGTACGGCTCTGGAAACGCAACAGACAATGCGACCACCCTCTAAATACCAGTAACCATGGGCGCGCCGTCGCATGGTTGCAGCTACATGAATCATGTCGGATATGGATAACCTAGTCGGGGCTCCCATCTCAAGGAATACCTCTTTCAATTGGTGAGCAATTTTAATAGTCGCACCTATGCAGGATCAGGTTGGATACTGAAACTCTCTAGGACATGGTTTATCGAACTCTGCACCTGCTCATGCTTGACTCTCTTCTTTCTCTTCTACTTCAATCGCCTGTTCGCGACCCTTGTCTCCTACGGGCTGAGAGCCTTCACCTGGCATAAGTACCGAGTCTGGATCGACATTCAAGCGCTTCAGCTATCCTTTTTAGCCGGACGGATCTTCTTCAAAGGCATCCGCTATCATGCCGAGAACGAAACTGTCCTGATCCAGAATGGTTACATCACTTGGAGGTATTGGCAGTCCTCCGCGCGGCAGGTAGATCTCTCGGGGCTGGAAGGAGAAGAGGAGGATTATGTGGTCAAGGAGAAGAAAAAGTCTCCGCTGGACGGGTCTGACGATTCAGAGACTCCCTCTGAAGACCCCGAGAATGGCCGTTTCAGAGTGAAAACGACAGCAGAGGCCCGAATCTCGGCTCATATCTCGGGTTTGGAATGGTTTGTCTACAACAGAACTCCTGTATACGACTCCATTGTCCAAGGTGTTTTGAATCACGATCTCAAGGGCTGCAACTCGCAGAACCATAATACCGGCCAGAAACACGACCACATGCTGGGCAAGCTCCATCTCCGTAGGGACAAGACAAGGCCTCATTCGAAAGATACTGCTCATAGTGTCACCTCCGCAGACAGCCAACTTGGCGAAAAGGCTGACCGGGACTCACCAACGAGCGATTTCGCTGTCCCTCTCGGACGCACAGATACCTACGCCAGCGTGGCCCCGGACATGGAGCGACCTGTCGCAGACATACCATCCTCCTATCCTTGGATTCTTCGTGTCCTGCCGATCGCTCTCGAGTGCTCAAAAGGCGCAATCTCACTTGGAAATGAGAACACGCGGGCATTGGTCGTCACTACCTTTGCAGGTGCAAAAGGCCATATCGACGCGAGCGCAGCGGGGCTGTCAGACTTCTTCCGGCAGGTGTTCGACTTCACCATCGACCACCCCAAAGTTGAAATGAAACCCAATCCAGACTTTCGCAGGACTCAGTTCGTTGCTGCGGAGAGGATAATATCAGCCGCAGAGTCTCTCAACCACCCGCGACGCTGGTGGCAAGTGAATCTCGGTCTTAGACGCAGAATTGGTAAAGCTTTCCGTGGATTCAAACGACTTCTGCCAGGTCTAGGAAGTTCGAGGAGTTCACTGCGGACGACTGCATCACAAGACGGTAATACCAAGAAATACTATCCCTACGATGAATTTCAGGATGAGAACCGGTCGTGGCATGGACTTGGTAGGTACCTGGATGAGGACGAGCGCGACGATCACGAAGGCTGGTCTCACGTGGAGTATGCCAGGTATTCACAAATCCTAGATTCGCCGGCAATCCACTTCAAGTTCTTTTGGGACATGCCGGGGACCGTGACAGAAGAAGATGCAGACTTGGGCCGTCACGCACACTTCGACGACATCAATCTGTCCAAGCCACCGGCCTACGGGATGGACCTGACCGTCAAAGGTGGCTTCGTTAACTATGGACCTTGGGCCGATCGCCTTCGCATTGAAATCCAGTCCGCTTTTTTCCCGAATCCCTACCGATCGGTTTCAGCCACTCCGCCGGTCAAAGTTGGCGACGTGCGGCAATACACAGTCATGACGATACGCGTTGATCTTGAAGATGAAGTCAGCCTCCGCGTACCGACTAGAGAACGCTCGAAAGATTGGCAGTGGAGAAACCGAGCTCACGCGGTCAGGGAAGCTGCTGCTGTACGGAAGCAACGTGAAAAGAGACACTTTCGATTTCGCCGCGCTCCCAAGACAAAACTTGGTCCAGACATTCGCCCATTTGGCTGGTTGACCGTTTCAGCAGGACAAGATTCGACAGTGCGTTATGACATGGACATGGTGCCGCGACTAGAAGGGTACAGAAACCACTTGCGCCTTGACCTTAAGCACACGAAAGCTACTTCTAGCGTCAATCACGCACTGCTCTGGCGTTGTCCATCCCAAAAGGTCTCGTGCGACCTGTCCAACCCTCTAGGGTGGAATGCCCTTCATACCTGGGTTTTTGACGTTGAGAGCAGCGCCATGGAGATGTTCATTCTGAGAGACCACATGATTCTGCTAACAGATCTTATTAGCGATTTTACGGCAGGCCAGAAGCCAGACTATATGACCTTTGTCCCGTTTGTCTATCAACTCCACTTGAATTTCCCGGATCTTAAACTCTACCTCAATGCGAACGACTATAACATTATTGATAACCCATGTGACCTTGAAGAGAATGCATTCTTGGTATTGGGATTTCAAACGCTGGCTGGAAGTGTGGATATCCCAATGCAGCACTTCTCGCCTCGTCAGAGCAGCGTCAAGTTCATTGGGGAGGGCCATAATGCCTCCCTAGAACTCATCACCCCAGTGTGGAACACGCTCAATACGCTCGCTGAAGACACGACGATGATGACGCTCAAGGTGCTTAATCTCGAAGGCTCCTACAACTACTACCCCAATGTGTCTCCCACCTTGACAGATTCTTTATTCATGACCATTACAGGCTATTCGCCGAAGTTCTTTTTGCACGGGTATCTGATCCGCTATTTTGTGAACGTCAAGGAGAATTACTTTGGCGAAGATCTGCATTTCAGGACATTGGAGGAGTATCAAGACATGCTCGCTGGCGATGAACTCCCACGACCCCGACCAAGTAACAAAAAGGACAACGACCTCGATGTCATCTTGACTATTCGAGCCGAGAACTCCTCGGTACTTTTACCTGCAAACATTTACTCGCAGCGAGAAAATGTCCGTGTGGATATCCTCCTTGTCGATGCCGACATGCGCTTTACCAACTACTACATGGACTTGCAGGTGGAGTCGAGCCCCCTTGAGGTTTCTCTCGAGTCGATAACTCTTACGGAAAACGAGCCGTCCAGCGAGATCACGAACTGTCAATTATTCATCGATAGCACTGGGGTGTACGGTCATAGACTTTTTGGAGCTCCCCCTACGGAGCCCACATACGCCTGTCATTGGGATATCAATGTTGGCGAGATCACGGGTGAATGCTCCTCCAAATTTGTACAGACCCTAATCAATTCCATCATGGCATTCATTTACACCCTGGACGACGATGAAAATTCTTTGCCACCTTTCAATCGAACGGCTGTTCACGATGTGACCTTTCTCAGAGCCAATCTTGCCGGCCTTCGTCTTTGGCTGGTTTCGGGACGAACTGCCTACTTGCTGGAGCTTTCTGAATCGGATGTTTCGTTCAGCGACTGGGCCAATTCTAGCTTTGCAAAGACTTTGCGTGCCAGCGTCCCACAGGTTGTCCTAGCAGCTGTGGACTACAAGGCTGCTCTACGACATCACGATCGGCAACCAGGCCCGGTAGAGACCCTCGCCTGTTTCCAAACCTCTCTTCGAATTGGGACGCTGGACAAGACCGACAACCTTGCACAAACACGCGCATCACAACAACAGCATATTCGTTATCATGACCAACGAACCCACCGTGCACGTTGGTTGTTGGATCCTCAGAAGCACTACTTGCCCAATCACAGAACACCCGACTGGGCGCGTGATCCGCCGGCCATGCCAGTGCCATCAATGCCTGAACCTGTTGGGGGAGTAGAAACTACCACTTTTGCGGATTCAAGGCACGGCGATGATCGAAGGCGAGCTCGGGGACGACAACCCTCGTTTATATCGGCCTCGTCAACACCACCACGAAAGGGATTGTCTGTCGAGTCAGGTATGCGGGATCGGTCTAGTCATGGCCCTGTTGGATCCTGGCCGCCCCCGTCCAACAAGTCTGGTCTTAGCCGTGAGGGTCTGAGTCGTGTCCATTCAAAAGATCAAGATGTGCATCAGACCTTAGTGACGTTCTCCAGTCCATGGACCCCACCGCACTTTACACTGCATGATATCGAACCTGATACAAGAAATCTACCTCAGCTCCCTGCCTTGGATCCTGCCCAGTTTCCCTCCCTGACGCCAGCGGCCAGCACAGATCTTGGGACGATCCCAGACGAATTCGAGGACACACCACACAACGGTGTTGTCTTCATGGTTCAGAATGGCCTAAGAGGGTTTTGCACTCCCTCTCTCTTCATGTCAATAGGAGATCTAATACGAGAACTGGGTGAGGATCGGCCGATGGACCAGCTGGACAAGGTGCAGATTACGGTTATGAAGCGAATTCTGGAATCCCACAAGCACGATGACCGCGGACACGTTGTTGACTTCGCTGTTCAATTGCCCTTTGTACATGTTAGGTTGGTCAACAGCCTACAAGGCGAACCCGAGGGCCTCACACCATTTGCTCGAGAGGACCAATACGACGTGAAACTCAGGAGTTCACAGTTATTCTACCGCCTCCTTCATCCCAGGACCAGTGCCAGAGGGGGGCACAACCAACCGCACAGTCAACTGGCGTATGGTTCGATTGAAAATTTGTCCGTATCCGTACAGGATGCTACACTCACAACTGAGAAGCCCTCTGCACAGACTGCAGTCTCCCTGGCGAAGGTGGGATTCTGGTTCTGCATGAAAGAAGAAATCAACTCCAAATTGCAGCTGAGCAACTTTGACGTTGTATTGTGGGCGGACCAACTCAACAGTATGGCAGGACTTATCCAAAGGACAGTGTCGATGGTCGATCGCATTGTCGAGGGCTTTGAAGGTCTTGATCAGAGCTATAAATCAAGGCACTTGATCTATCATCTGACTCAAGCGGGCAATACAATCTCGGATCCTGTCTTTCTGACGAGACCTTCCTATGTGCTCAGAAGTGCGGACAAACATGTCCGTCTAAGCGACTCGTGGAAGATCATTTCCAGACTCAGGTACATCTTTGCCACCCTCGAAAAAGAGCAAGGGCGAGACTTCGTTGCGAAGTGCGGCTGCGAAAACTTCGAGTTGAAAGATCCCGCCAAACTCCAGGTTCTTTCTTCGTTCGAGCAGTGGCGAGGCTGGGATTACGCACGCGATAAAGTGCCGATCATGAGTTCCCTTTTTGACAGTGGGCGTGTCCAAACACCGGAAGCAGTCGACAACAAGCTGATTGTACAGACGGAAATCATCGTGGGGAAACTTGAAGTCATTTTGGATCCAGGACCTCGTCAGAGTGATTTGGCTCTACTCGGCCTTGATTTCAACATAATCCTGCGGCCTGCAGGTACATCCGGCCTCGACAAAAATGCGCGGAGAATCATCCTTCAAGCTTACACTGCAGACACGTCGCTTCATCTCAACTGGGCTCTGGTCGAACTCGCCCGTCAGGTTATTGAACTGGGCAATCCTCTATCCCTACGAACAGCCGACACCAATGATTCCGTGGAGAAGGCAGCGCAAAACCGGTCTGCAAAGAGAAACCACTTCACAGTTATGGTGGGAGCCGATGCAGCTTCCATTTACCTCACCACGATCAACCTGAAACTGAAATGGGCAGCCGAAAGCTTTCGAAGTGGTGTCTCTTTCTCCGAAGGTGGCTCTAAGCCTACGATTTCCTCCTTCACGATTGCAGCATACACAGCAATGGCCAAGTTCAGAAGCCATTCTCATACTCTGATGATGTGGCGCCTCCGCATGCCAAAACTATATGGATCAGTATGGCCACAGCCGCCTGCCAGCTCCGGAGACCAAAAGATGGTGGTCCAGATCTGTGCCGCTTCGCACAAGTTTCGGTTTCAGATGAAGGAAGACATTGTCAAGTTGCTTGTAGTCGCCGATTCTGTCGTGCGCGAGGAAGCTGCGACAATTACTGATTTACTCCACCAGATTCCCAGCGCAAACGGCAGCAAAGTCCAAAAGAGTTCTGGTTCAAACGATGCTCTCAATCTCGATCTTCGTGTTGCCATGTTTTTGGACGACTACAGGTTGAGCTTCGTGATCGTTCCGTCTCTACACTATGCAATTGCCGGGAACGTGGCCCGCACATCGATCGTTCCACGGCGACATGGTGGACTGGATGTCAATTTTGACATTAAAGAGCACGAGCACTTGTTTGAAGTCCCTGAGGGTGCCTCCCAGGGCAATTTGTCCCTCTTGAAGATGCCACCGATCAATGGGCGTCTTTGCGTAGCTCAGAATGATGCTCTGGTGTCAGTCCGAGCTCGTATGACTGTCGAACAGATTAATCTGGAAGCGTCGGGTGTGCGAGCTTGTTTCGACGCACTGAATCAGCCTGGCGTGATCCAATTAATACTAGATGCCAGGAAAGCAGTCCAGCGAGTGCAAGAGTCCATCGATCATCTCACAGGTGGGAAGTCAAAACCCAAGGCCGACAACCCTCCTGACGCCACACTTTTGCTTCGCTATGCAATTCATGGAACACTTGCCGGGATCAAGGTCCACTTCAGTGCGCCGTCTGTCAGGGAAGATCAGGACTACCGTGCTGATATGGAGCTTCAGCTCCAAGGGACGACATTATATATTCACAACGAGGCGGAAGATCCGGACTCGATCCATGAGCGGCCACAGTTCATCCTAAACTCTCAGGGCATTGGCCTTGGGCTTTATCGCAGTACAAGATCCGAGCGGGCTAACTTTGGCCTCTGTACCATAGGAGTGAAAGCCTCGGGCAAAACCGAGACAATTGGGAAGTCAGGGACAGTCCAGGTTTATAGGGCATGGAGCGATGGAATTGCTATTGAGCTGTTTGAGGAGAGTGCTACCCTTGCGGTCGACATCATGGCATTTCTGCAAGATCGGATCAAATCACTCAAGCTTGCTGATAGTGGGGAGAACATGCAACACATCCGGAGGATGACCACCGCTGGCCTCACCGAGCGGTTGAGACCTCGAGATCCAATGGATGTGGCCAGTGAAGCGGCCGAGAGCGTCGACGGCACTTCTACCATCCTCTATGCCTCGACCTATGCTCTTGACCTCGAGAACATTATGCTCCGATGGAATTTGACGCGAAGCCCTGGTTTTTCGGCTACCCGTGAGCTGGACGATCTCGTTTTCTCAATACGAAAGGTCGATCTCAAGACCCGACAAGAAGGAACCGCTCGGCTCTCGATACTGGACACACAGTTGCAGATTGTTCCACAGTCCCATTCGGAGAACCCCATTGAACGGACCGCCAACTCTGCATTACTACCCGAAGTAGTCTTCGCCACGGCCTACCTCTCCACCAAGCATGAACGACGATTTGCGTTTCAAGCGAAAGGGAAAGCGCTGGACCTCCGACTTTCTTCCGACTTCGTGATACCCGGTCACGCCTTACAAAAGTCGCTTGGCAGTGCCAGCGCCGAGTTACGCAGAGCGAAGAGTTTCCGTGTGACCAGTTCAGCAACACCACAAGCCTCTCAGATGGATCTGTTGGGCGGAAAGCGACTGGCATCTCTTTTAGTTGATGCTGATTTTGCCGGGGCTGTGGTCCATATCAGCCCTCGGAGCGAAGTTGAACACAAGAGTTCAGTATTCGGGTTCTTGAAAGGCAAGAAACGATCTCGGGCAGGCCGGTATGGTCAAGCAGTCCAAGGTGAAGACGTTTCATCAGCCGTGTTAAAGGCTCCTGGAGTTGCTCTGAAAGTCGAGTACAAAGACGATAACCGAGATGATCCGTCCCTGAGTACTGAGGTCAGAGTCGCAGCATCCTCGAATACTCTTTACCCTACTGTCGTGCCGTTGATACAAGAAATATCAGCAAGCATCAAAGAGATCCTGGGCGACGATCGGACAGGGGATGGCAAGCCTGGCTCATCGGCAGACGCTCGCAGCTACCTTTCGGAGACGGCGCTCAGTAACTCGAATCCAAGTACCATTTTCGGACGCTGCAAACTGAATGCTGGGCTCTACATACAACCACAGCAGTTCAGCTTGAGCTGTCAACCGATTGCAAGAGTGGCGGCCACAGCCAGATTTGCAGACATATTCGTCAGGGTCAACACCGTGTCTGCCCCTGATCAAGAACGATTCTTTGCCATTCAGACGACATTCAATAAACTCGCGGCTTCGGTACAACATGTTTATTCACGGGAATCAACTGCCAGCTTCGAAGTGGATTCAATTGTCATGTCGCTAATAAACAGCAAGCATGTCAGCGCGACGACGGGTATCTCAGTGGTTCTCAATATCAGTCCGATGAAGACAGACATCAATGCAAAACAACTGCAGGACTTTCTGCTCTTCCGTGAAATCTGGTACCCGCCAGAACTGCGCAGCAAGTCCAAAACAGCCGCCCCCACCGCGTCTCCCCTGGACCAACAAGCCTATGCAATGCAGCGCTATCAGGAGTTCTCCGGGAAGGGCACTTTACCATGGCATGCTATCGTGTCGGTGCAGGAAGTCCAGCTCCAAGTCGACCTTGGTCAGGGGCTCGGCAAATCGATCTTCACGATCTCCAAACTTTGGGCCTCGTCGAGAAAGAACAGCGATTCGGAGCAAAACTTGTGCATGGGGTTTGACAGAGTCGGGGTCGATAGCACGGGGCGGATGAGCGGTTTCATTGAGCTGGAAAATATGCGGGCACGGACGTCAATCAAATGGCCAGAAGATGCAACAGCGAAGACCCGTGCGCCCCTCGTCCAGGCATCTATTGGGTTCGAGCACTTCCGCGTGAAGGCCGCCTTTGACTATCAACCGTTCGCAGTGGCTGACATTTCTTTCTTCGAGTTCTTGATGTACAATGTGAGGCAGGGCCTTGGGAGCGACAGTGATCGCCTGGTCGGCCTTGTCGATGGCGGCAAGGTTCAAGTGTTTTGCACCACAGCCACTGCCGCACAGGGCCTGGCTCTCGTGCAGGCGTTTGAACGATTGATGCAAGAGAAACATGAAGCCTACGAGACATCGCTCCGGGATCTGGATAAGTTCCTCCGAAGGAAATCGGTGTTTCCATCCAGCACTTGGACAACTCCCGCTCCGGTCAAGGAGCGCCAAGGGGAAACTGTCGCAAAGGGCACATTTGCGCTACACACAGACGTCGTTCTGACATTGGGCGCTCTTGACGCTGGCGTCTTCCCAAACACGTTCTTCGACAACCAGATCCTGAAGGTCGAAGCGACGGAAGTACAGGCGAGGTTTGCAGTGGCGACAACCGAGGGCAAAACTCACAGTGCCCTCGGAATGACGTTGGGACAACTCAGAGTCGCGTTGTCGAGTGTGACGCGGGTTACCACCAAAGCTCTGAGCGAGGTCTCGGTCCCGGATGTCATCGACAGAGCCACCACCTCCCGAGGCGGAACCATCGTCAAGGTACCTCGTCTCGTCTCCGCAATGCAAACCTGGCAGGTCGCGGACTCTAACACGATTGAATATACCTTTCGGAGCACCTTCGAGGGCAAAGTCGATGTTGGCTGGAACTATGCGCGAATCAGCTTCATCCGCGGCATGTGGCAGGCTCATTCCCGCGCCCTGGCCCAGCGCCTGGGGAAACCCCTCCCACCATCTGCCATCAAAGTCACAGCGGAGCCCTCGGAAGATGGGGAGAACGGACGTCAAGAGAAGATCACTGCGGTTGTCAATGTTCCGCAGAGTAAATTCACCTATGTGGCGCTTGAGCCGCCGGTGATTGATACGCCACAGCTTCGAGACATGGGCGAGGCGACGCCGCCGTTGGAGTGGATCGGATTGCACAGGGACAAGCTGCCCGAGGCCACACATAGCATTGCAATCGTGAGTCTGTTGGAGATTGCGAGGGAGGTGGAGGATGCGTATACTAGGATACTGGGAGCGAGCTGATCTGGGGTTTTTTTGGGGTTTTTTAATCCCTGGACAAAAGGCAAGCATAGCGACGGCGTGGGATTGAGAATTTGGGCATTTGCTCAGAAAAGATTTACTTGAATTGATATCTATTAATTAAAAAGTAGCCCTTGAGAACTAAACACCTCGGATCTTGTCACCGTGGACCCCTCTATCTTCCATCAGTCCTCCCTGGAACAGTTGAGACCAGAAGACTAGTAGAGGTTTGTTTGTCAATTAAGCACCAAGATAACCTCGCTCATCCCGTCGGTGCTTCACTCATTCACTTGACCACCACATCTCTCTCTCTCGCTCGCTCGCTCGCGCGCTCTCTCTCTCTCTTTCGTTTCGTCCATATATCTCGATCCTCTCTCTCTCTCTCTCTCCCCGTTCACACATCTCCACCACAAAGGAAAGATGCCAATGGGGACGGACATTGCCACCCCGACTTGTATCCTTCCCTCTCCTGCCATCTGCCATCTGCCGTCTGCCAGAAGACTTGTCGCTAACCAACCGCTTGCTTTGTTTCAAAGGTGGAGAAAAAGGTCTCGGTCGTCTGACACTTTTGAATCCCCCATCTCCCCCCCGGCCCGGGATCTCTGTGTCCGAAAACCATTTCGCACCCCCCACACTCGGGGTTTAGTCGGGCGACACCTCTTGGTAGTTACTGTAAGCTGGATATCTCTCGTTTCTGCTCTCTTGCCATATCCCATCTTGGTGATTTTTTTGAATTTTTTTTTTTTTTTCACACTTCGCCAGCCTTCTTGGCCCCGGTGGGAGAAACCTCGTTTCCGTCCTTGAAGGCGTAGCGGCTGAATTTGCGGATGCGCGCGCCGTAAAAGTAAAAGGCGTAGGGGATGGCGCAGCAGGCGAGGGCCAAAAACGCCAGGAGCGAGCTGGCCCACTGGTAGCCCAGGGTGTGGTACATCTGGACGGTGAAGAGGACGACGCCGGCGCCCCAGAAGGAGCGGATGCAGGTCTTGGCGGCGAGGGCCGAGGCGGCCAGGTGCTGGTACGTGTCGACGAGGTAGTTGTTGGCCGAGTTGTAGAGGAAGATGAAGCCGAAACCGACGGGAAAGCCGCCCATCATGGGCCCCCAGTACGAGACCTCCGGGTAGGATGTCCACCCGAAGATGAACAGCCCGATCGGGATCAGCCAGCACGAGAGCATCATCGGGATGAGGCGCGCTTCCGCCGGTGGTTTGCCGTCCGGGTACCTGGCGCAGATGGAGAGATAGTGTCGGTTGACAAAGGGCGAGAGGACCGCCGACAACAGCACCCCGACGGCCAGCGGGATGAACATCAGGCCCGTGCTGCCTTCGGTCCACCCTTTGCCCTCGACGTAGACGATGGGGTACGCGACGAAGAACATGTACAGAAGGCCGTAGAGCACCGACATGTACAACGAGATGAGAAGCACGATGGGTTCGAGGAACAGTAGCTGCAGAGGCCGGAGGAGGAAGATGGCAAGTTGCTGCGTCAACGGGCGGGTGTCCAGGTCCCTTTCCGTCACGTACCTGCTGTCGCCCGTCTCCTTGCGGAGTTTCTTGGCCCGTTTGTCGAGGAGGATCGGTGTGTAGGTTTCCGGCACCGTGAAGGTCAGGATGGCCAAGCAGAACCCGGCGAGGATGAGTTGGATCCAGTAGAGCCAGCGCCAGCCGGCGGCATCACCGAGAAAGCCGCCTGCCAGGGGTCCGATCGCAGGACCGATAAAGGGCGCAGCTGAGAAGACAGCCATGGGGACGCCACGCTCTTCGTTCTTCCACAGGTCGGCCAGTGTGCCACCCACAAGAGTCATGGGGGCAGAGAAGGCGATGCCGTCGATGAGCCGACAGACCAACAGAGTGCCAATGTTCTGTGCCACGGCGCAGGGTATTTCAAATATGACAGCGAGACTGAGGGTGATGATATAGACCGGTTTCCGACCGTAGAGTTCCGACAACGGTGCAAATGCGAGGGGTCCGACTCCGAATCCGATGACGAACATGGTGATGGTCAGGAGGGAAACTTCTTCTGAGACGTGGAATGTTTCCGAGACGCCTTCCAAGTCGGCGGTGATGACGGCGCTGTTGAAGGCGACGGTAAAGCATGTGAATGCGACGACCATGGTGCACCACCACTCTGTTCGCAGCAGGGTCAGCAGGCGCAGAAAGGAATTATAACGGAAAGAAAATGTGGCACGAAGCACATACTATAAGCCTTGGACCAGTTCTTTGGGTTCTCCGGATCCCCAACCTTGAAAGTCACCAATTCGTGCTCCTCAAGCGCTCCAGTGACCCTCGAAATCGTCTTCTTGGGAATCACACCAGTCGTCGTCTCCTCCAGATATTCGTTCATGTTGGCCTCATCATTGAGGATGTCGTAAGGCAAATCCAGCACATCCGAGGCATCTTGTGTCGGCCTTGTCTGGTAGCGCTCCAGTGTTCGGCGAGTGGACGTCCGGGTCATTCTGGTGTCTGATTTCTCAACGCCATGTTCCAAAGCGCCGTCAGCATCCGACAGAGTTGGAGTTGTAGTTAGAGAAGCCCCGTGGGGCACGTGCGTGTGATCCATGTTGAGTCTGGCGAATTGGATATGGGTCTAGGAAATTAGTTCTGAACAGTAGAACTGTTTCTTCGTGCAGTCCTGAACGCCAACTGTGAGCTGGGAGACAAAAAGGGGCAATGAAGAGCCGGGAATGCGATGTATATATACTATAGTTTCCAGAAAATCTCCGTGCTATTTTGACAAACCTTCAGAGGCTTCGCCGCCCAGAAGGGCGCTATCTGCGAAAGCCATGTGCGGACCCAGTGCCCAAAAAAGTCGAGATCAAACATTGACTCCATTAACACATGCAGGTGGTTCGACCTTGTTTGCTTCGCTCGGTCTTGCGCAAAACGCGAGAGACGACGAGGCTAGCTCCTTGTGAGTGGAGCGGGTGCGGAAAGGTCGCCGTGAGGCTGCCTCGCACCCAATTGAACAGTGCAACCAGTTAAGCTTAAATCAAGCGAAAGGGAAAGTCGGCATCGCCCTTGCTTGAGCGAAGACACCGAATGCCACTCAGGAGGGACAGTGGAGGCCGAATCGTCAGCGCAGTTCAGACCGAATCCAACTCGAAGATACCGTTGAGAACAGCCGCGCCTGAGGAGAGATGCTGATTGGCAGTGGAAGCAAGAAGCGAGAAAAAGAACCAGTGATTATCAATGCCCGAGAAAGCACCGAACCTGACCAGGTGGGAGGGCCGCCCAACTGTTGTCTCGGTTTGGGTCCGCTCCCCGATGATGATTGGTCGTCTTGGGGTAGATCTCGCAAGGCTCTGAAGTGCAGGAGTACCCGTTTCACAAATATATCACCATGCAAACGCTGAGTCAGTGAAGGCTCAGACGATCGATGTCACAGGGGAAATTCTTCCTCGTTTTTGCTTGCTGCTATACGGCGGCTGGAATCCCATCTGAATCAGCGTCCACTGGATGTAACAATCTGGTGTCATTGAGAACAGATTCGGAGCCCGACGTTCTGCGGGCACTTCAGTGTCTGCCCTCAACAGTGAGGACACTTCTTAGGCTTTGATGCTCGGAAAGAAGAAATGGCGATGAAACTCATTCCTTGAAGCATTGTCCTGTGGAGCACGATCCAAGAAAGGATCAACCAGTATGAAGGGCCCATTCTCCCCCTTTTCTGTTCAGGAGGATTCGTGGGGATTGACAGGCAAAGCACACAATGACAATTCTCCTGATCACGGAGAGTGGCGGAGATGCCAGTTTCCAGGAAAAGAGAGGCATTTTGTGATATGGCCGAAAGGAGGAAGGCGTCTTGGCGGTAGCCTGTGGCTTGCTGAGCCTGATGTTTCGGATTGGTTTTCACGTCGTCCTGGCCATTCCGAGCGATGACCTCATAATTTATCCGCCCTTCCGGCCACAAGCCCCCGCCACCCTCCGCGCATCACCCGGACTGACTAAGGACTGAGCCTGCTGTCACTCCCATCATGCGCCGCCCTTGATAACACTTGCGACAGTATCTCTGCTTCGCTTCTTTCTGAAGACTGCTATTCGATTCATCCATATCAACATGTCAGACTACTACAACCAAAACCCATATCCTCCCCCGCCAGGGAGCGGGTACCACCAATATCCGCCACCTCCGCGATCACAACACGAGGGTGGTCAAACCTACGCTGCTCCACAGGTAAGGCTAGTTTGTTGATTTCGAATGTGGCCAGCATCGGTCTTGGCTGACTCCTTCATCAGTCCTCCTATGGAGAGTATCAGCCTGCACGTGAAGACCAATACCGATCCTCGCCGCGTAACTCGGGCATGCAGGTCGGCCAGTACGCGGGCGAATATGACGGTCGCTCGCGTCGTAACTCCGGCCCATATGCTGCCAGTCAGTACCGCGCAGGAGATAGCGCGTCATATTATGCGCCTCCATCGCAAGGATACGACGATCGCTATGACGACCGTCCAAGCTCCCGAGGCTCGAGACGGGAGAGGGGGAGGGAAAGATCGCGGGAAAGGTCAAGAGAACGCGGGGAGAAACATCACGGTGGGCACGAGGCAGAAAAGAACATAGGGGCAACTCTCCTTGGTGGTGCTGTTGGTGGATGTAAGTCTTGATACCGTCCTGTCGTTTGAACAAGGTCTAACAGTGAGGTAGGGGCGGGTCATGAATTGGGCCACAAGAACGGCCTTATCACCGTTGCTGGAGCGCTCGCAGGTGCCTATGCCGGTCACAAGCTCGAATCCAAGCATGAGAAAAGCAAAGAAAGGAAAAAAGAACGCCGGGAAGGCGAGGCTTATGGCGAATACTATGACGACTACGAAGACCGAAGAAGCCGTTCGGTGTCTCGCTCCCGCAAGAGATCAGAGAGCAGGAGGAGAAGTGTCAGCAGTAGCAGCAGTGAAAGTGACAGCAGCAGGCGCAGGCATCGTCACCATCATTGAGAGAAGTAAAGGGTTTGCGGGCGTTTGTCGACGGTTGGAAGGGATTGTTGAATGCCTTCGGCTAAATTTTTCCGCTGTGTT